CCAGGGGGCGGCCGCGGCATCCCAAATTTTTCCGCCAATGGGAACCACGGCCTCCGTCCGATAAGGGCCGGATTTTGAGGGGCCCCCCCCTTTTAATAAAAAGGCCCCCCCCTTTCAAACCGGTCCCAAAAAAGAAAGGAAAACCCAGCCCCCTTCCCGGGGGGGGGGGGTACCCGGGTTTCCCCGGAGTGGGGGGGCCTCCCGGGGGTGGAGGGGCCCAAGCCGGGGCTCAACCTCCGGGGGGCCTTTGGGGTCCCAGGAATGGGGACGCGGGCCGGATTTTGAAAACCGGGGGACCCCATTAAGGGGGGCCCTCCCCCCCCCCCAAACCCACCCGCTGGGCATTTTGTTCCACCCCCCTCCCCGGTCCGGGGGGGCCAACAGGGAAAAGGGGCCCCCCCCCCCCCCCCCCGTCACCGCCGCCCTCGCCACCGCCGCCCTAGCCGCCACCGCCCTCGCCGCCACCATCTCCGCCACCTTCGCCACCGCCCTCGCCGCCGCCAAGCCCGCCAGCCCCGTCGCCGCCACCCCCAAGCCCTCCTCCGCCGTCCAACCCCGCCCCCTCAGCTCCCCCCCCCTCAGCCCCCCCTCACCCCACCTTCACCCCGCCCCCGCCCCGTCCCCCGCGCAGCTTCTACTTCTTCGTCGGCATCGCCATCGTCTGCGACGACTTGTACGCCGAGGCGATCGATGAGGTCGAGGTGCTCAAGAGGTGCCCGAGGACGTCGCCGGCGCACCCTTCATGGCGGTCGGGTCGTCGGCGCCCGAGTTCTTCACGGTGATTCGCCCCGCTCGTGACCGAGTCGGACGAGGGCGTCGGCGACATCGTCGCCGCGCCGCCGTCTTCAACTCGATGACCATCGTCAGCCTGACTGGCATCTTTGCCGGCCATCTCGACCAGCAGAGGCTCGCCTGATCGGCATCACAGCGCTCGTGGAGGCCAGTTTAGGTCCCCGCCCCTTCTCTCCCTCTGGCACAGTCCGCCTCCTCCTCGCCACCGGAGCTCCGCTCGCAACCGCCCCACCCGCGGCCTGGAGGACCGCGCCGCCATCATCCCTTCCGCGCGCCCCGTCAGGCAATGAACGACGCGTCGCCGCGCGTGCCTGACTACTGCGGCCAGG